TTTTTTGGTCTTAACCTTCTACAATTCGTACTCGTGGTCTACAATCCACTTTTGTGTCTGCGAAACGTTACTCTAATGTGTGAACATATTGTGTAACATTTTATCCGATCATCCAATCAAAATTAAAGACCTCTATGCTGTATATGATCAATTATGGTAATTTCATCATTCAAATGCGAAATTACCCTTGAATACCGCGAATGGTTAGATCGTTCCTAAGATATCTCGTTGAGTTATAGCAACAGTATTAAATTTTTAAGCATTTGAATTGAATTATCTCAGGGATAATTTGACCATTTGCCAATATTCAAGAGCAATTTCAAATAATATAGAAAGTGTACTTAAATGTAAAATGTTGCCGGATATTTTTTAAAGGAAAATTTATTAGTTTTACACATAACTTATACACGGATACTAAATTATTAATTTACAATTCGTGTAATACATGAATTATATATGACAAAAAAATTAACCCAGTTTAAGATTAGAGTGAGGTTAACTTTGGGTTAGAAATGGTTAGAGTTTATACTAAAATTTTGAAAGAAACATTTTTTTGTTAGAATCCCAAAAGTTGGTTTAATCAGGATATCAACATATCCGTGTATATACAATAGAAATATCTTTAGGTTTTCCGCTACAAATACGAGTCGTGTAACCACGTGATTAAAAATCGACAAAACCTGTCATATTACAGAATTCAGTTGGATAACTAAATAACGATAAACGATGAGAATAAATAACGAACTTCTGCCGAACAATATATATAGAGGTTATTTTGACTTTAATATAACCTTTTTTCCCTTTTTATTAGAGCCAATTAACCTTATTTTGTATATAAAAGATTTAATATTCAATAATTTTATCCGATTAACAAATATTGAAATATAAGCTTATTTTTTAAAAAAAATTTTTTCCTATTTAAAAAATTTTTTCTCTTTTTTATTGATTTTATCCACTTTTGTTAACATAACATTAAAACCTTTTATCCGCTTTTCAAATATAATATTTTGATAAACAAAGTAACCTTTAACCAAAATTTCAATATAATCTCTCTCTCTCTATATATATATATATATATATATATTATCTGGGGTCTTATCATATGATAGCTCCGGAAAAACAATACTCCAATATCTATCGCGCTGTTAACGCGTTCTTGTAACTATATTGATTATGCAGCAATATTCTTCTATAAACTTCAATCAGCCTTCACTATCTTCCAACTCAGCTGAAAAGACAATAAATGAAAATTTTTGTGCAAAACATGAAGTAATACAAAGGAGTAAAAGCCCTACTCCTTTACGTAAATATTTATATCTAAAACATATATATATCTTTTTTTTTTTGAGCTTAAAAAGACTCATACTTTTGAAATCAATATTTTTAGGTAGTTTAAATCGAATTCCACAAAAACTCGAAACTCAGCATACAAAACCAAGCCATACAATAACTCTTGGAGACAATTCTGTACTTTCTTTAATATGCAATTATAAATATTTATTTAGTGGCTCTCAGGATCCTTATATTCGAGTATGTATTACTATTCTGAACAAATATTTAAGGATTCATCAGATGAATTAACGTAATTGGATAATATCTGTTTTATTAATCACATTTATTTTATATTGGATTTGTTATCTTTAATTTTTGGGTTTCTTTTTTTGAGGTATGGGACCTACTTACTTTCCAGCAGATAAGGACATTGAGCGGACACACGGGTGGCGTATTATGCTTGAGTCTATCGGGAGATTATACCTTGTTATTTAGTTCTTCCGGTAAGCTAAAGCTATCTGCTCTGAATTTATTAATTTTTCATTTTTCAAAAAAATAAAAATATATGCGCGTACTAAATTCATTAATTACAATTAAAAAGGAGATGGAACAGTTCGGGTATATTAAGAGATTATTTATCCTAAGTTCGGTGACAATTTTTTTCTTTTTTGATATACTAATCTTTTTTTATTAAATTATAATAGGTTTGGAATACTGAAACACTAAAATGTCTTTATGTAATACAATCAAGCCATGATGTAGGGGATCTATTTTCAGTAGTTTATTCCGATTCTTTGGAAACTTTATATATTGGATGTCAAAATACCAGTATACAAGTAAGGCCTTAGACCAATTTTTCATCAATTTGGAATTAGAACCTATATCAATTATACTTTCAAATTTATTTACTTAAATTATTAGCAATTTGATTTGTCTGTCAAAGAAAAATACAGATCTTTACATTTACCAAATACATGTAAATGCTCTAAATTCTTTGATACTTTACCACCTAAATTGTCGGATGATAACAAAGGGATTATGGCTGCTAATGTTTATGCTGAAATTAGTTATATTCCCAAAAATGAAATTGATGATGTTGATATCCCAAGATACGAAATTGATGATACAATGGTATATTGGAATAGTCATAATGGATATGTGTATGCTTTATTATTGGGAAAGAATAAGGATGGTGAGATCTTGGTTAGTGGTACGTATTTTGATTTTATATGAATTTTTTAAAAAAGTATTTTTTTTTAAATATATAGTTTTTTTTTGTAGGATCTGGTGATGGTGATGTAAAGGTACATATAAATTGTCATTGTATTAATTGCTTAAATTACCATCAATTGAAAGTAGGTTTGACACTGCCCGCTAGATTTGGTCGGTTGAGAAGAATTCAATGAACCTTTTACGAATTCTAAAAGGCACAGATGCAGGTGTTCTGACCATTACTTTACATGAAGATTTATTATTCTGCGGTGCCCAAGGTGGGGACATTAAGGTTTGTGTAAATTCTATAAGGTAGCTTGGGTTCCGATAAAAAGTCAATTAAAAATAACACCTATGAAAGATTTATGACTTAGAAACTTATCAGGTAATTTGAAATATCGAAATTCTATCGTTTTTATATAAAGTTGTCAATATTTCATGTCTCGTGTCTATTTCTAGCATATACGTTCTCTCATGGCTCATGAGGTAAGTTTTAAGAACTTAAAATATACAATATTAACCTAAGTATTTGGGCATGAGTTTTATCCAAGTGGTCACCGGTTAAAAAATTATAATTTAACTAAATGATTACCTGTAATATATACAGTTCGCATAATCACTTAATTATACACCACTTAATTACTAGGTAATATATTAAAATATACATATATTACCTAGTAATTAAGTGGTATATAATTAAGTGATTATGTGTATTGTATATCTTACAAGTTATTATTTAGTTAAAATATATAATTTTTTTACCAGTGTGGTGCTTAATGTCATAATTTAGTAGTTCAAAAACTGGAAGTAATTTAATGCTTTAAGCAAATGCTCTACATCTCAGAAAATTCATCAACAAAATTAAAATAACGCAAATTTTTCGATTAGTACAGAAATTTGCGAAAGGAGTTAAAAATATTGGTAGTACCCTTATTGTCGCGAAATAACGCGCAGGGGCGTTATTTAGAATAATGGCCCGAATTAAGCTTAATTTAGGCCAAAATTTGTAATTTCACCCCTGCGCGTTATTTCGCGACAATACGGTAATCACTTCACCTATAGTCATTACATCAACATGTCATTTGACTGATATCACTTAGAGTAACAATTTAACGTATTATTAGAGTTATACAATTTGTGAATTGTCACTATATGTCAGATGATATGTCGATAAAAGATTGTCGGCGAAATCATATGCATGTAAATTTAGTAAGTAATCCTTAATGTTGTGCTAAGTTACTTCGGTCCTTATGATGATTAAATCATTGAAATTAGATTATTTTAGCGCGAGATAATTGAAATTTTGCGCAATTTTTAGTTGTTATGCAACTTGCACATATATTCGAAAGGTTTGCGCAAGATTTCAAAATCTATTATCTCATACAAAACTGCTGTTAGAACTAAAGATGCTGGTGAAATAATTTCATCACTATTGATGAAATTAGTGTTGAATTGGTGAATTTTGTGATATTAATTTCACGAGCATCTTTAGTTAGAACCAGTGTTGGGTATGACCTGTCATAACCTAACACAGGTTAGGACGGTAAACTTAGTGCAACATTACAGGCTACTTGGTAAAAATGTTCTTGGACCATATTTTTAACATTTTTCTGCACTAATAAAAAATTAGCACGATTTTAACCTTGCTGGTATTCAGTCTTACCCTAAGCATGCTTGATATTAAGCACCAGTGTGTGTAGTTTAGTACTATGGTTTGGATATATTTGAAATTTTATATGAATGTATAAAATTAAATTTATTTGTCTGTCCTCTGGGAAAATAAAATTTATCATATATAGTTGAACCTTTCTAAAACGCATCCCTGGAGTAGAAAGCTGTGCTGCTTTTTGTTTTTTTTTGGCAAGTTCATATGAAATAGATTGCACATAAATAGGTTTTATACAAAGTGCTTATAGCGAATATAACTACAGAGGTTCGAGTACATATATATAAGTCAAAAGATAAATTTGTCCAAATACTCATTGGTAGGCAGTGTATATTTTATGAATATTAATTTTTCACTCACTTTAATTAATATAGGATGATGTCCTAGCATTAGCAATTAGTGATCATAATCTATATTCCGGATCGGCTGATGGTACTATTAAGGTAATATTTAATTGATCAATTGAGGTTTATGCTAATAATGTACACATATAAAATTTTATCTTTTTTTCAAACAAAAATAATAAGAAATGGAGTAAAACCTTTGAAATTGAAGATACATTTAAAGATCATACGGGAATTATACTTTCCTTAACGTTATCACCTATAGAGGTATCGTCACGTAGACGTTGGTTGATTAGTGGGGCTAATGATCAATTAATAAAGGTACAACTGGTCTTATTAACAATACATTTACAAGTTAATTGAGTTTAATAATGTGTATATATTCAAATAATAGTTTTGGAGTTTACCCGTGTCAATTAACAACCAAGAATCAATGGAAACCTCGACAACAGGTATGAATTATTCTATCAATAGTTATTTTTCTATTGCAATTGTTTATTTTTAATTTTTTAACTTTTATTGTCTAGATGTCATGTTATATGCATTATCGAAATTGGTTTCATTACGCACAGTTAGTGGAAATGACAAATATCTTGAAGAATGTTTTCGTGGTGCAAAATTGCTGAAAAGTATTTTTGAACAATTAGGCGCTGAAGCTTTTTTGGTAACTTTTCATTTTAATTGCACATTTATTTCCTTGTTTATTAATTAAACTATTTATAATTTATACGGGGGTTATTGGTATCTGGGGTGTTATATCTCAATAAATTGACTAAGAAACAGGGGTCAGGTAGGTTAAGTAAAAACGTTCAGAAGTCCCAAAAACCTCATGTAACCTAAAATTTGGAAATTATATCTAACCCCTGTTTCAGTATTAAACTGCACCCTAACTCTAAATTTTGATAAAAAACTAAAAACAATTATAAAATGGAGGTTATCAATGACCCCTGGTATAAACTACATGTATTCTATTAATTAAATACTAATGTAATATTATTAATTTACACTATAATAGCTTCCAGGAATTCCTGGTCGGAACCCTTTAGTAATTGGCAAATTCTTAGGAATTAAAGACAATGAATTGGCTACTGCCTCCACCAATGTTCAGAAAACACTTAATATTTTGGTTTATGGACATTATGATATCGTTGATGCTGAAGAAGAAGCGTGGTTATCTAACCCTTTCGAAATGCTTGGTAGTGTATTTAGTTATAATTATTGCTTTAGTCATATACATTTATTTGGCTAGTTAGCCATTAAAGATCATGGCTAAGCGGCTTGCTGATTACTGATATGACTAAACTTCTTGGAAAACCATGTTCACATTTTATGTATTAATTGTGGTGGATTATGCTGAAATTGTCTATTTTATTATAAAATTGTAAAATTTTTTGGGGCCATTTTGTGGGTTAGGGTAGTATGATTAATATGTAGATTTTAGTAGGTTTATAGGTTTAAATAGAAGCCCCAAAATTTCAGCATAATTCCCATAGTAATTATTTTACAGAATTCATAGTCTAACGTCCATCCGACATATAGTGTTAACCAGCTGACACATTTGTGTTGGCTGGCCAATTTAGCCACAACTGGTTTAAAACACTAGTTATAATAATTTATTTCATTTTTAACTGAACCTTAAATATTGCTGTCTATCTTATGAACATTTTGTAATTTTAGGAAAAGATGGTTATCTCTATGGAAGAGGTAACTTTTAATTTTTGTTTATAGTTGCTTACTGATTAATGGTTATACATGAAATATAATGTTTATACAAATCAATAGGAGTAACTGATAATAAAGGACCGATGTTAGCAGCAATATTTGCGGCCAGTGAATTGAGACAAGAAAAAGGGTTAAAAACAAATGTGTCTTTTTTAATCGAAGGTGAAGAAGAAAATGGTAGTGAAGGGTTTCATAATATTATTGATAATTCAAAGGTTTGTATTCATTGATTTGAAGACAAAAAATAGATGATCTATACCAGGACATTAACTAAAAATGTGTTTGTGAAATTTGACAGGAACTGATTGGAGATGCAGATGTTATTTTCGTCAGGTTTATCATTCAATCTAAAAATGAGTTTTTTATATTCATAATCATAACCATAAATATTATTTTCTTCGCGTTTATAATTTAGCAATTCTTATTGGCTTGATGATGAGACACCATGCTTAACTTACGGTCTTCGAGGAGTTATTCGTGCTACAATTGAGGTTCGATAAAACATCAGACTTAAGAATATAACATTCATTTATTATCCTGGCGCTTATATATATATTTTAAAAAAAAAAATTTAGATCTCAAGTTCAAAAGATGATGTACATTCAGGTGTGGAAGGTGGAGCTGTTTCGGAATCACTGAACGATTTGATTCGGGTATTGGCAAAATTGGTTTCTAATGATAATCAGATTCTGATACCTGGTAAGTTTTAAAAGTACCAACTTTTTTCTTTCATTGTTTAGGGAATTAAAAATTGGTCATTATTATATATCATTTAAATAGGGTTTTATGATAAAGTCAGACCGATTACAGAATATGAAGAAAAGTTGTATGAGCCTATCGTGGAATTATGCACTAGGTTTTTTTTTATTTTAAATGCTAGTGTCTTTCATTTGTTATTAGTTTTTTTTTTTTTTTTTTAATTGGTACCCCTTTTTTGTCTTTAAATTTAAGACAAACTCAAAACACAAATACCGAAGATATTAAAAATTCATTAATGTCAAGATGGCGCCATCCAACATTAACCATTCATAAAATAGATGTTAGCGGGCCAAACAATGTGACAGTAATTCCAAGGTCCGCTAAAGCAGCTGTTAGTATGAGAATTGTGCCAGATCAAGATTTAGAAGAGATTGCTGCAAATTTTGTGGAGTATGTTGAATTAGTATTTGGAGAATTAAAGACGGACAACACTATTAAAGTAGGTTATTGAAAGAGTTTGATTGTATCATATAATAAAGATAAGAGTTAGTCTGGTTTTGATTATGGTAACAGTGAATGTTTATAAGTAGATTACAATAAATAGTCTAGCAGATTGGTGGTTAGGAGATCCTGAAAACCGATTTTTTAAAGCTGCTGAAGAAACCGTTAGACAGGTTGGTGTTTATTTTGCAATTTTTTTCTTGATCTGTATAATTAATAAGGAAGCCAATACGGCGTCAGTATAATGTTAAGAGATTTTTTTTGATACATTCACTTAAATTCTATTACAGGAATGGGGAGTAAACCCACTATATGTAAGGGAAGGCGGGTCAATTCCTGCTATTAGATGGTTAGAAAAGAAGTTTAATGCGGTTGTAGTTAATTTACCTATGGGTCAAGTAAGTTTTAAAATTACATGATGAGCATTCCTTATTTTAGGAAGAGCCTTAATTCCTTTTTTTTTTCTTTAAGTCATCGGACCAAGCACACTTAGTAAACGAAAGAATTAGATTGCAAAATTTATACAATGGTAAAAACATCTTTAAAAATTTGTTTAGAAAATTGGGTGAAAGTGTGATATTTTAATCTTAATATTGAGAGTTGTATAAAAAAAACAAAAGAAGTTTGACTGTTGTATTCTGATTATTTTTTCCTTCTGGCATAAACGTTCTATAACTTTCTTTTCGTTATTATGCGTACCCTAACAAAAAGTATATATATATATTTACAGTATATTTAAATGTAACTTATTCGCTCAAAATTGTATGCCTAAGCTGAATTTGCGAAATGATTCGTAATAATAAAAAAAGCAAAAAAAAAAACATTAACTGATCTGCTAAGACACTGAATTCTCAAAATTCTCCCGCCAAAATAAGAGCCAATATTTACATTCTCATTCGAGAATGACTAATAACTCTTTACAATTAATATTCAGTTATTTACATGCTTTCAAGAGTAATCTATTCGTTTGTATATGAAAGACCTGGAAAATATTTACTTAAACATTCTTTCCATTCACAAATTGCGCAATATCCCATTGCCTATCATTCACATATAGATGAGTTCGTAAATATATCAATTATAGTAATTATAGTTTAAATTAAATAACGCACAACTTACCAGCGACTTTTCAATTATATCAGAATTATTCTTTGGAACTTTAATGTGCATTTTTCCATCGATGTATGTTGAAAAAACCTTGTTAGTGTTAACATCTGGAGGTAATCTGACTGGATGACAAAATGATTGATATCTGCGTCCACCCATGAATGTAGAAATCGATATATCGGAATTAATGATTCCAGTAAAAGAAGAGCCAACGATATCTAAGTCCACTATTGGCTTTATAGATCCAAAAATTGCTAGGGTTCTATTGCAAACTTGAAAATTGATATTATAATCCTAAATTTGCAAGATAGTGTAAGTTTAATTATGAGCTTATAACAGTTATACAGCCAGATCTCAATGCAATATCATAATGACCATAAAAAAGAAATAACCGAAATCTGCACTTAGAGTGATATTGCACAAGGAGGTTAAATCTATAAGAACACTAATAGCTTGGTGTCACATTTACAGAGGTTTTTCATGAGGCGTACATTTAGAGAGATCTGACAGTAATAATATAGTAATAAGAATAACAGACCTCCAAATCAATTTTAACGTCTATTTCCCGATCATTTTCGGTTACAATAATTCCATTAGAACAAGAAGAAGCAAACTCATCAAAAACAAATTCTACACTGTCGTCATAGTCCACCAGTTCCATGTACACATTTTCCGAATTTTTTAAAAATTGTTTTTCATCATTTCCTGACAAATGCCTTAATGGACCACCGTCCGAGGCAATTTTTGTGTCGCTAGGATTCAATTCATCTTTATTCTTACATATGCTCCATTGAATAAGCGCATCTTTATAAGAAACAAATTCCAACTCACGTGAAGTAACCGATTTAATCTTTTCTAATGATTCAAAATCATGTGCTTGAGAAAGTGATTTGTCAACACTAATTGCCTGTAAAGGGGTCATTTTAAAGACTACAGGATAGCTGAACTGAGGATAGAAAAATATAGATTTTTCAGAAGGAAATTAAGCAACCAGAATAACGGGAGACAAGCTATATTTTATTTGAAGGTTTTTTGCATGACAAATCGTTATTGTTGAGGGATAACTTTTATATATTTATCACGCAATAAAGTAAATTACAGTTTATTTCACGCCAAATCTCACGCATCGGAATTACGTAATGAGTAAACATATTTTAATATTAATAAAATCATTTGCTGAGTCCGCAGCTAATCTCAGAACCGCAAAAACCTTAAGGAAACTACCGAATGCTTTATTCTAAATTAAGTTACAATATGTTAACGTTAAGACAATGAGACATTTTAAAAGATTTGCTATGCCATCATTAGCAATGTTACACGAATGATTTCACATGATTTTATATAAGAAGTATTTAATATCCAAGTAGCGTTAAAGCAGAATCGTATTAAATGAGTTTACTAATTTTCCCCACACTTCTGATTGGTTCTACTAATTATTCACATGTCAGTGTGTAATCAATTTTATGATTCTCCGATAGTGAAGTGTGGGGGGAAATTAGTAAACCTGTATTGAATCTATTCGATGTGTCAAAAATGACTATTTATATCATGTAATTATTTGCGTAGTTTTAACCTCCAAGTTTACGGACAGAGAACTACGCCACGCAGTATGAATTCTGTGTCAGGTCTGTGGCGCAGATCCTGAACTACAAATCAGATTTCAAGATCGGGTCACATAATACGATTAGAAAAATTTAAAACATACAGTATATATATCGACTTGTTAAAAAATTATTTATTTCTCAAAAATTTGTATAATAATTAAATTAGAGTAATTTTATAAAAATGATTTGCCAGTTATCTGAAGATTCGTGAGATCTTTTTACTCATATCTCAACGATATATTGGGTCAATTTAACGTTTTTACTACCATTAGAACCATTTAATAAAAAAAATCACTTTTGATAATAAGAACTTCAGATTTATCTTAAATAAAAATCTGTTTTTATAATTGGAGTAATTTGTTTATTAAGTCAACTTTACTTAAGCTCTTAATAAAAATTGTAAAGGTCATGGCGATTCTATTGATAGTGAAAATGTTTACAATTTTTTAAATTATTTTAAAAATTTAAAAACTATATTATTTATTTTACAATTTACTGGATTAAATTTAATATTTCACTATGATTAGAATTATTATAAGGATTAATATATTTGTAGTCATAGACTACTATAGCCATAACTAAAATAACACTTTTTTTGTTAGTTAGGGTTATGGTGAGGTGAAGATAGTATGCGGGTAAAAAGGTGTGTTTTATAGTAAAATTTAGCAAGAAAATTTTTTTATATACTTAATTTTGAGTTATAACTGTTTTGATTTTTTATTTTTATTACTGCTTATGCTTTCAAAAAGCTTTTCTTAATTTGAATTTTTTTAATTATACCTAATTTTTTAGGGATGTATTTTTTGTTAATTTATATCTTTGAGTAGATTCTATAGCATTATATGAGTGCATGAGCACACGTTTTTTTAGTAAATTATTGATTATTTATCTGATTCAGCACAGCATTTCGGGCATTAAATATATTAGATATCGATAATATTAATATCTAATATATTTAATGCTCAAAATAGCTGTGCTGAATTAGATAAATAATTAATAATTACTAAAAAAATGGTGCACCCTTTTTCTCCCATGCACTTATATATTTTGTTTATTATTTTCTTTTTTACTTGATTCTTTTTTTTCTTTAATTTCTGGTAAATATTTTTTTCTGTAATCTCCTTATTGACTTTCTTGTTTTTTTTTTTTTTTTTTTTTTTTTTTTTTTTTTTTTTTTTTTTTTTTTTTTTTTTTTTTTATTTTTCATTATACGTTTTACTTTTTTTTTTTTTTTTTGTTTTGTCTTTTT